AGGGACGGGGTCAGGGGCCTGGCCGTATGGGGACGAGGACAGGGGACACAGCAGCAGAAGGCAGGAGAGGACAGGGATGGGGACAGGGGACTCACCAGCAGAAGGCAGGTGAGGATGCTCAGCAGCAGCACGATACAGACCAGGACCAGCAGAGCAATGGCCCAACCCGGGACCACAGACACTGGTGCTGGGGACGTCACCTCCACAGTGCCTGAAAGAGGACCAGAGCCATGTCTGCGCTGCTGGGCAGAGCTGCAGGGCTGGCCAGGACAAACAGCCCTGAGAGACCCCCAGGATGGGGCATGAGGGGATGAGCCCTCCTCCACAGGGTCCAGTTGGTCTTCCCAGTGCTGCCTGCCACGGGCATGGGGAAACTGCATCGGCTCTGCTGGCTGCAAGGCCTGAGCCTGTCCCAAGGAGCCTCCCTGCCCCAGCCAGGATGTGGCAGCACTTGTGGAGCCCCCCAAAGCACCCCTGCAGGGCTCCGTCCACCCTCGTGTCCCCCGCTTGAAGCTCCCACTCACTCCGGATGTCGGCCAGATGCAGGTCCATGATGAAGCCCTCCTTGTTCAGTTTGCTCCTCAGCTGCTGCTCAGCAGCATTGCTGGCGATGGTGTCATTGCTGTGCCCAAACACGAGGGTGGACTGCACCGCCACCGAGCCTTGGCTGCCCACGAGAGGAGGTGTTAGCACCCGGATCGCCGCCCCCTGCAAGGGGGTCTGCACCATGCGTCCAGGACACACCGGCCTCTGCAGTTGGAGCCGCTGGCCCCCTCACCTGAAAAGGAGCTCGGTGCATCCCTTGTAGGTCTGCCCGTCCATGCAGCCCACGCAGCCAAAGACGTATTCAAACTGGAACAAAGAATGGGGGTGATGACCACCTCCCCAGCAGACACCCCCTCCCTCCCGTCCCCTCACTGCTTCCCCTCACGGGACCGGCCGGGGCTGCCAAAGCGGCCGGGGGCTGCCAAAGCGGCTGGCAGAGAGGATGCTCGGGGCACTTTCACGGGGAGCCCCGATGGGAGCAGCTCCTTCCCAGCACAGACTGGGGGCTCTTTGCTGCCCAAGGCAGCCCATGGGCAGGGCTGGGACTCACCATGGCCAAGATAGCGTGGCTCAGGCTCCTGTAGTCTTTCGACGTGGGGTCGCGCAGGCTCTCGTTGAAGCTCCTGTTGAGGATGCGGAAGGACAGCAGGACGCGGACAAGCAGCTGGACTGTGGCTCTGGTGGGGTTGGGACTGCTGCTGTTGCCCAGAACAGCTGTGGGGGTCTGCCTTGGAGCTGTGCTGCCCTGAGTGGTGACAGAGGTTTCCTGCGTGGGGATGACGTGAGTGCTGCTGCTCCCGTTGTCTTTGGTGCTGGAGGTGAGGATCACTGTGCCACCACCCGTGGGGGAGGTGGGAACCGCGGAGCTGCTGGTGGTTGTGGTGGTGCTGAAGTTGCTGCTGTTCGTGGTGATATTGGTGTGAGAGATGGTAGCGCTGCTAGAGATGGGCACTGCAGTGCTGCTGCCTGTGGGGCTGCCTGTGGGGCTGTTGCTGGACTGGAGCTTTGTGGTGTGGCCTGTAGTGGGGAAGACTGTGGTGTGGGAGGAGACAGAGGTTTCGGTCTTGTTGCCACTTGTGCTTTTGGAGATCGTGGCGTTCGAAGCAGCGGTCATAGGGGTGGTGGTTATCTTGGTGGCTGTCTCTGTGGTGGTCGTGTCAGTGGTGGTTGTCTCTGTGGTGGTTGTGTTGGTCGTGGTTGTGTTGGTCGTGGTTGTGTTGGTCATGGTTGTCTCCATGGTGGTTGTGTTGGTCATGGTTGTCTCTGTGGCAGTTGTGTCAGTGGTGCTCGTCTCTGTGATGTTTGTGTCAGTTGTGGTTGTCTCCCCGGTGGTCGTGTCAGTGATGGTTGTCTCTGTGGTGGTTGTGTTGGTCATGGTTGTCTCCATGGCAGTTGTGTCAGTGGTGGTCGTCTCTGTGACGGTTGTGTCAGTTGTGGTTGTCTCCGTGGTGGGCGTGTCAGCGGTGGTTGTGCTGGTCATGGAGCTTGTAGTGGTGCTCAGAGCATGTGGACCTAGAGGAAACACCAGGAGTTGGCAGCTGGGACAGCAGCACCAGTTTGGGA